ATAATAAAGGAATCAAGGAAATGTACTAGGAATGTTTACATACAGTGATAATAAAGGAATCAGGAAATGTACTAGAAATGTTTATATACAGTGATAATAAAGGAATCAGGAAATGTACTAGAAATGTTTATATACAACGATAATAAAGGAATCAGGAAATGTATGAGACATGTTTATATACAGTGATAATAAAGAAATCATTATATATTTCAGAATTTTTCTTTTTTGTCCCTGGTCACTAAAGTTACAGTGAAACAAGATCCACTTTGAACCAAAAAGAACTCTTCCCCCCCTCCCCTGGTTACAGACTTATAACCTCAGACAGTGTGAAGTTGAAAACTAAATAATGACTAAAAAACCTTAACTACTTTTTAATTTGTATTTTTTCTATAAAATAATGTATGTAGTAATACAATGCTTTAAAGTATGTTGTTTTTTTTATAGCTGGGGCTACCTGCGTACAGCGGTGTGTCTCCTATTCTTAGTGGTGATACTACACCTTTTGTTCCTCCTAGACATTTGGCTAGCTTTCAGCCTAAAGTAAGTCACAATTCTACTGTCTTTAGTTGTAATAACATCAACTTATTTGGTGATGTATATATATTTAAAGATTTTCACCTGGTAAAGCAATTAACATTTCCAGTTTGTTGATTAAAATATAGCCAGTCCAGCATAGCCTCGGGCTTTAATCAGGTTCTGACTGTTTCTCAGTTCACTCTGACAGAATTTATTTATATGTATATGTACAGTGTACGTCAAAAGATGTAGGGTATTTTGTTTTAAATGATAACACATTGATATTATTAACAACAGCTTTTTTTTTAAAAGTGCAAAGTTACTAAAATCATTTTACAAAGTAAACCGTTAATTACCCAAATAGTTTTGACGTACGTCATTTCCAAGGATATATTGTGTGAGAAGCACAGCATCTCCAACGTTTACACACATTATTTCTCAAGTCCAGTTTTATTATACAACAAGAAACAATACATCACGCTTCTCACACGGTATAACCCTTGGAAATGAGTCGTGTAATAAATATTTTTTAATTTGATTCCAGTCAGTTTATGTTATTACTTAAAACCACTGAATCTTAATATGATTTTTTCAACCTCTAAATATCGCAGGATTGTTTAATAGTCCTAAGAATCTGGTAATTGATAGAGGAATAACATTCCCTGTAATGTACCACATTGTAGATTTATTTGTTGTTTACAATATTAGAAGTAAAACATACTTAAATGATGGAAGTTATATTGGAGATATACTTAAACTATATTGTGTGTTAAGGGGTAGAACACTCCAAATGTTGTTTATTAATTAAGATGCACACATATATATATATATAGGCACTGCTAACTTTTTGTTAGTGTTATTCGGTGTAACAAAGATCGAAATATTGAATACTGTTTTTAAATTTACAGATGAACCCTCTTGTTAAGACCAAGAACATGGTAGGTTATCATACTGATCAGATTTCCTGTCCTTTTAACATAAGAAATAGTGCATTTTCTAATATACAAAGTTAGACACGTATAATTATTTCTGGAGATCCTTTTCAGTTCTGACCATCATCAAGTGCATACAGGTGATGACTGGGCAGTGATGTCAAGTTTTAGTGTAGGAGTACCTGCTTGGTAGTTGTAATGTTTTCTTTAAATTTACTATCTTACCTCCAGTTGAAATAGTTTAAATAAAATGATTCTCAATAGGACACATTCTGTCTTACTTTGATGTGAGGATATAATCATAGACCGAGTTTTATTATTCTAAACAATATTTGAATGGTGGATTGATCTCGAGTTTAAGGTACGTTTGTATTTCTCCGTAGAAGTCCGGGCGGTGGTGTGCAATGCACGTTCGAATAGCTTGGGAAATTTATCATCATCAACAGAAACAGCAGTCCGAAGTGCACAAGGCCAGTACTACACCATCAGCGCCTCCTGGTGATTTGTTACAACGACCACGAGATTTTCACATGTCACTTCTACTCAACACAGCAGGTATATAAATAAATGGAGGAGGTTAAATCCGTCATTGGTAAACAACTAGTCGTCCAAAATGTATTTAAAAGAACCTGTACATCATTTTAGTATAAGCAGATCAGAATGTATTTATCAAGTTTCTAGAACTGATACACATTCTTCACGGTTTAAAGTTTGTTTTATAAAATGATGGATCATTTATTCCTTCATGTTACAATACCAGTATTTTTACACTTGTAATGATGGATCACTTATTCCTTCATGTTACAATACCAGTATTTTTACACTTGTAATGATGGATCACTTATTCCTTCATGTTACAATAGCAGTATTTTTACACTTGTAATGATAGATCATTTATTCCTTCATGTTACAATAGCAGTATTTTTACACTTGTAATGATGGATCACTTATTCTATCATGTTACAATACCAGTATTTTTACACTTGTAATGATGGATCATTTATTCTTTCTTGTTACAATACCGGTATTTTTACACTTGTAATGATGGATCACTTATTCCTTCATGTATTTTTACATTTGTTTTCTACTAGGTCCTCCACACGGCAGACCTCCGTTTGAAGGTTCTTCACACCCGAACTCTTTCCTTAACTCATCTGCAGCCCACCTGGGTGAGTGTAATTTTACGTAGTACAGATTATACATTTCCTCTGTGATACAAAGAGAAAATAACGTTTAGCATGACTTGACTGAAGTTTATGGTAGAATTAATTTGTATATTCCAGGTTTACCACCTTTTGCTCGACCCCCTTATCCAAGTTTTGGAGGACCCAGCAACAGCTTTGGAAGACTCTCATCTTTGGGTATGTTTTTGTAAGATTTTGCTTTTTATTATGATAAATGACGTTTATTCTTATTTCATGTTGAACTATTATTAAACATCATGTTGTCCTCAAAAAGGATTTAAAATGTTTACAGATGTTGCTACATGATTGGAAACAGGAAAGTGTCACATATGTGGCTTGTTTTTTCTCTTCTAGGTCTAGGGAGTGCTAGTGTTTTTAACAGTCGTGACCCCTCAGGACTCTCTAATTTAAGCTTACCATCCCAAGATCCTTGGACCCACATCCATAGAAACCCTCATTCAATACCCGTTCCACTAGGTTCTGGCAGTATGCCTAACCCTGCTCCTTGGGGAGGATTGAAAGCAGAAGCAGAGCGGAAGCTTGAACGAGACAAACAAAGAAAAGCAGAACTTGAGAAAGAAATAAGAGAAAGAGAAGTTTCAGAAAAGTGTAGAGGACAAGACAGGTTAGATATGTAGCTGATCTATTGTTGAAACGAGGACAAGACAGGTTAGATATGTAGCTGATCTATTGTTGAAACGAGGACAAGA